TCTGCTCTATGCCATGCTCAATGATCCCATGTTTCCTTTGTTAAATATTAATCTTCGATATTATTAGTAAGAAGATAGCACAGCAGCATTATTCACAGTAGCTAAAAGGTGAAGACAACCCATGTGTCCATCAGGTAATGAATGGATTAACAAAAATGTAGTGTACACATATTAGTATTCAGCCTTAAAAGAAATGAAATTCTGACACATGCTATGCATGGACGAACCTTAAACATTATGTTAAGTGAAATAAGGTGGACACAAAATGACAAATAGTCTATGATTCTTCTTATATGAAGTACCTAGAATAGGCAAATTCATAAGAGACATAAGTAGCACAGAGATTGCTAGGGCTTAGAGGAGAGAGAGAAGGATGGGAATTATTGTTTAATAGGCACAGAGCTTCTATTTGGGATTTGGGAAAATTCTGGAAATAGATATTGGTGATGGCTGCACAACCTTGTGAATGTACCTAATGCCACTGAATTATACTTAAAAATGGTTAAAATGATAAATATTATGTTAAATATATTTTACCACAATAAAAAATGACAACAACAAAAACACCCCCAAGAAGATAGCTCTTCAAAGAAAAGGCAAAAAGTGGAGACCACCCTCTTCTCTTATCTCTGCTCCATAGCTTGGAGTGGAAGAAAGGGCTACTGGAGATGCACAGTAGCTATAGGATTGCAGAGGAAGATTCCTTAGTGGGAGGATGAGTGACATTTACTATCAATGGGTGTAGAGTTCTTTATGTGCTTTAGTTAAACTTGTTTTAAACAATCTTAGTCTGAATATGCTGTACTAATGTAAAAAATGTTTTATTTATTTATTTATTTGAGAGAGAGAGAGAGAGAGAGAGAGAGAGAGCACAAGCAGGGGGAGAAGCAGATTCCAGGGTTTGATCCTAGGACCCTGGGATCATGACTTGAGCCAAAGGCAGACGCTTAACTGACTGAGCCACCCAGGTGCCCCTAGTGTAAAATCTTGATGATATGAGTATCTCCTGTTGTTCAGCTCTTACTCTATGGTACCTTGAGCCCTTGAGAAATAAAACCTTTGCACATAGGCTCTCGTTTAATGTCTACAAAATGTATATGAAGCTGGTACTCTCATTATATCCATTTTTTTTTTCCTGACAAAAATGTTATACTTCCTACTAAGTGGGGACCATTCATTTTCTCAACTTCTCATACCTCTGGTTTGGTAGTGAGTTCACTGTTGTTGTTCCCCAAAGCAATTTTCAGGGTTTTTTTTCCCCTGGAAAAACAGACTAGCAAACAAGTAAGCATGGACTGGTGCTTTGCTGTTCATATCATTCATGAAAATCATTCTCTACTACTCCCAGTTACTGGTATCTCTCCTTGTTGCTATTCTTCACTAAATGATGACTAAGTGGATGTGTTCTCTATTTTTTGCCCCCCCCCATTATCCTGGTACAAGACTTCAGGATTTATGCAAATAACCCATTGAACACTCTGTGTTTTCATATTCTTGATTTCTTTCTCCCAAGATCCCTATCTCATTTACCCATTCCCATGACATATCCTTGAACCTCTCTGGAGATCATTGTGTTTGTCTCCAACACATCTCCCGGCATCCGTGCTTCACCTCTTACGCATACTCCTAGCATATTTGATAATTAGATTCTGCTCATGTTTCAGTCTTCTGCTTAAAATCTTCATGATTTCCACTTCCCACTGTCCTTTAACATGACCTAAAACATCTCCTATGGTTCCTGCTTATACACCAGGCTTAGTTCCTGAGTACTACATCCCCAAATTTCATGATTCTTTCAAGTCATTGGCAATACCAAGCTCCCTTCCCTCTTGCCTCAGGGTTTTTGTATCCTCAGCCTACCCCCACAGCTCCTTTCACTCTTAACCCATTCTTCTGGTCACTAACTTGAATTAGGGGGGCTTTCCTGCATTCTCCAGAATGAGAAGTTTCTCTTATTACATGCTTGACATCCTGTAGTTTTAATTTATAGTACCTATAACCATTATTAGGTGTCTGTGCTCACATGATCACCATCCCATGAGCCATGATGACAAAGATTGTTTATCATATTGCTTGTTTTGTTTAACATCTAGTAGAGTATAAGGATTTGGTGGATATTTAATGCCTACTGAATGAATGAATGAATGAAAGAATGAATGAATAAATGAGGCTTCTCACCAACTATGAATGAAATACTTGTTGCCTGGATAAATGAAAAGACTGTGCAATTGAACATCATTCCAAAGGAGAATGTGGCCACTGGGGTGGACTGTAGCTGCTTTAGCAGAGATGTGGCTTAGGGAGGGGTCTCTTTGGTAATGGGGAGATATGATAGAGGAGGTCTTAGCCATCTCAATGGGAACTTGCTTGGATGGACTGTCTGAGAATCAGTATCTATCCCCTACTTGTTATGGTATTGGAGTTGATATCCATGGGCCTATTGCAATTTCTCAGAAGAGAAGCAGAATGCTTAATTCACTTGAGAGAGGTGGTATTTGTCTTAGATTGGATCCTCTAGAAACAGATACTGAGGCAAAGATTTGCATGCAGGAAGCTTATTGTGAAATATACTTGGGAATGACACCTGTCAGGGAGTGAGGGAAGCAGGATGGAAAAGAGGAAGAAGTTAAACTATGATCTAGTTACCCCAAATGCCTGAGCTGCTTCCATGGGGGTGCTCTTGAGCTGAGATGGTCCTTCAATGTTGTTTCAAAAGAGAAAGGTTCAGGTCTTTGTATTTGTACTTAATGCGTCATTGGGTGAGAGCTTCACTCAGAAAGGAACACTAATCATGGGTGAGTCAACTATCTTTGTCCAAGGGAGATGACTCAATAAAGAGCTTTTAGCAGCCAACACTCTCAGCAGATGGAGGAATGAACAAGTCTCACCACAGAGTCCACTGAAGAATTTATTGCTCTGAGTTTGACCTGTGAGAATGAGAAATCTGAGCTTACAGAGAAATATGAGCTTTCCTAGCTCACTGAGCATGCAGCTTCCTATGACAGCCATCAAGGTAGACAGGCTTAGAGGTGATGACCAACACTGGACAGACATGAACCACCTGGTCAGGTGCAGGTGCCACTTCCTGCTCTGCCTCTCTGCCTAACCAGCTATCCCTGGGGCAGTGGACTTAGCTCTGTGGGCCTCCAGCCAATCTGGATGCTAACTTTAGCCCTGTCCAAAGGTGTCTGTGTGTCCTCTGGGACCTGCCAGTTGGTAATAACATCTTGCCTGCTCAGTCACTGGACCTACCTTCGGGAAGTATCAAGAATGGACTTATCTTTCATGGTAGGATTACAAAACTGGGTATAAATTTGTGCATTATTTATAGAATAACCTATATATCAGGACTTTATACATATCATTTAATTAATATTTATAATAAATCAGTAAGATTTATATTATTTGCTCTACTGTCAGGTGAGGCAATCTATACTCAGAGAGTTTAAGTATCCCACCATGGTTTCATTTGTTGAACATGAAGGGGACAGAATTTAAGCATAATTGTCTGCCTACAAAGCTTATGTTTATCCCCTGTACTGTGAAGCCTCTACCAGCTAGTTTATAATTATGAAGTTTAATAAGAAATTATGAACTTTACTTGAGACAAACCATTAAGGCACTGAAAGGATTTCTATAATTAGATAAAACAGAAATTGTGGATGAACAAAAAAGATCACAAAATAAAGTGCCCTTAACATGATTAGTGTTGTCGAACAGCTAATGAGTCCTTCTAAGAGACTTAAAGAGGAGGAAGAAAGAATACACAAAGGCATATGTAAAATAAGTTGCTGCACTCATATAATTACAAGAACATTGGAATAGTTCAAGCAAGACATATATGTGGAAATTTGTTAAGTATAAGTCAAAGTAATACAAAAGATAGCCTTTGAAAGCTTTGTTTGCTAGCCTTGAATGTGTAATTTTATTCCATGGATTAAACGGACTAACAGATTTTAATTTTAGAAGTGACATGACGACGTGAATTTTAGATGTATTTTATAATCCTCTGCCTCAAGAATGCACAGTGGTTAGGAAGGGGTTAATGGCAAAGCCAGAAAGATCTAAGGAAATAATCCAGGTGATAGAAGTTAGGAGTGTGCACTAGGCAGTGATGCTGGGGGGTGAAAAGGATGAGCGGGTCAAAAGGGGTTAAACGGCAGTCAACCAGAACTGGTGACAAGTAAAAGGGAGGAGAGATAAGAATGAGTAAGGATCATTTCAAATTTCTACATTTGGTTGGATAGGTACAAATTGTGATTTAACTCAAAAAAAAATATGAGCATGAAGGAGGTAGAGTGGATTTGGGAAGAATGGGCAAGTTAATTCAGCCTTGAATTCATCGAGCATTGGTATAGATATTTAGGTATAGATAAATGCAAAATGGATCTGGGTTTCAGAAAGGTATTTAACTCAGAAACCTAGATTGGAAGAAATTAAAGTGTATAATTGGTTACAATATTAATAAATGGATGAAATCAATCAGAGATAATGTACAGAACAGGGAAGGGAGGAGAGAATGGGACCCTGGAATCAACAACATATAAGGGAGCGGTAGATGGAGGAAGTGGTGGGATGGGAGACATAGGAGGAGTAACTGTAGGCTGCTGTGCTTTGGAAACTGAGGGAGAATACTTTAAAAGAGATCAGATTGGTTTACAGTGAGGGGATACAGAGGATCCTTTCAAGTGGACATTCCAAGTGAGAAGTAATTGAAGGGTAGAGTTTAACATCTCTCTAAAAGCAGCATGTTTACTCTTATCTGTAAATGAAACTAGACCTGTTGCAATTCAGACATGTGGATGTCTAACCTTAAAGACATTATCTCAAGGAAAGGGGCTTCTCTTCTTTGTATCTCACTTTATTTGCTTGTGTTTCACTTTCAGCTTCTTTCTTCTCATGAAGATGGTAGCCAGATCTAGACACTGGGATAACCCACCAGGAATGGAGAGATCATGATTTTGGTTTCTTTTCTCTCTTCTGTGTGCAAGCCATTGACGATGGCCCTTAGTAATTCTAGCTGGAGGCCACTCCATCCTTCTTTTTTCCTGATGGGCATCCCGGGTTTGGAGGAAAGCCAGCACTGGATAGCATTGCCACTGTGTGTCCTTTATCTCCTTGCTGTAATGGGCGATGTCAGCATCATCTTCATCATCTGGACTGACCCATCCTTGCACCAGCCTATGTACCTCTTTCTGGCCATGCTATCTGGCATTGACCTGGTGCTGGCCTCCTCCACTGCGCCTAAAACCCTTGCAGTGCTCCTGGTTCATGCCCATGAGATTGGGTACACTGTCTGCCTGATCCAGATGTTCTTCATCCATGCTTTCTCTTCCATGGAGTCAGGTGTACTTGTGGCCATGGCTCTGGATCGCTATGTAGCCATTTGTCACCCTCTGCGCCATTCTACCACCTTGCATCTGGGGATCACAGGACGCACTGGGTTGGCAGTGCTGGTACGGGGGTTGGTCCTTCTCCTCCCCTTCCCTATCCTGTTGCAGACTCATCTTCTGCCAGGCCACCATCATAGGCCATGCCCATTGTGAACGTATGGCTGTGGTAAAACTTGCCTGCTCGGAAACCACACTGAACCGAGCTTATGGGTTGGCAGTGGCCCTGCTTGTGGTTGGGCTAGATGTTGTGGCCATTGGTATTTCCTATGCCCTCATCCTCCAGACTGTGTTCAAGGTACCAGGGGGTGAGGCCCGACTTAAGGCCTTTAGCACATGTGGGTCTCATATTTGTGTCATCCTGATCTTCTATGTTCCTGGAATGTTCTCCTTCCTCACTCATCGCTTTGGCCACCATGTACCCCATCACGTCCATGTTCTTCTGGCCACCCTCTACCTCCTTGTGCCACCTGCACTCCGTCCTCTTGTCTATGGGGTGAAGACCCGGCAGATCCGCCAGCAAGTACTTAGGGTTGTCTCCCTAGAAGGATAGATCTGAACACATTCCAGTTATTTTCTTCTGGGGCTCCTGCCAAATGTACTGCCAGGAGGCCCAGGCTAGTCTAGGCTATGTGGATAGAGACCATTCCACAGTGAGGAGTCCTTCCATTCCTGCTAGTCTCATGGCAAAGAATATGCCTGGGAAATTGGCTTCATCAGTGAATGGGTTACTTAGATAGCAGGATTTGTGATTATTTTTACCATCCTTTTTTTGCTCTTGATCCCAGTATTTCTCTACTCCTTGTGATATGGGACTTGGAGATAAGATCAATAGATGATACCTCTGGATCTGCCATTTTTTTCCTGCCTTCACCCAATGACTGTGGATCATCACCTAGTAAAGGAGTGGGAAGTCCCAACCTTTGCATGGTTTTAGTTTTAGAGTGTCTTCAAACCTTTAAAATTCAATGAGCTCTAGGTCTCTGGGCTCCCTTGTAGTAAGAGAATGTCTCACAAAGCATTTGAGATGTCCACTATGTGAGAAAACACCTTTTATTACAATATGGGTGTTACTCATGTATTTAAAATAGACCTAAGTGGGGCGGGTAATGTAATAGGCTCTAGGAATAATATGTTATGATTCTTATTTTCAAAATATAAATTTATATGTATATAGTGGATTTCTTTTTTAAAAAGGTCTATTTGGATTTTGGATTTATTATATTTTAATTTATTTATGTGTTTTGCTTAGGATAAAGAGGGAATAAGACCCAATATTGAATATATGTATGTTTTTAAGTATTAATTTAACAAAACAAAAGTAACCATGTAATTGTTATGATCTAATAAGCATAATATTTGCCAGTCTGGTGTTGGTAAGTTTTTATTGAATTTATAAATTATTATTATATTTATTAATAAATATAGAACTAGTTATGCCACTTGAAAAAAGAATTTCTCTTTCTGAAATGTGGATATGGGGAGTGATGTCAATTAGATTCTCCCCATTTCTAGTAACATGAACTGGGTAAAGCTTACAAGAGGATTGTCGCAATTGGTATATTGCATCCTGTTTGTTGGATGTTGCCCTAAAATCCTAAGAAGTAGTACATTTTGTTCAGCCCTAGAAGAGGAAAGTCACCGCTGCCTTGTGGTAGGGTGCTCTGGTGTTGAGAGGGTCCTGACCACTCAACAGTGGTTAAAAGGGGAGAATGGATGGGTTAGTGTTCCAGTTTCTTCTTTCTTGGTAAATTTTTCTCCTAATAAATAATTTTCAGGTACAGAGTCAGTACGAAGTCTTCAGTTTGGTTGGCACACATGGGTGAATTAGGGAGGAGTCATATGAGTTCTTATTGCAGGAGCAATTACACATTCTCATCACCTTTGTTGTAGGCCTAGGACTTGAACTCTGGTGAGTTGTCTGGGGGAGGCCCAGGGTGTGGTGTATGTTGTATCACATCCATGGGAAAACTGTCTTGGCCCTGGAGGTACTTAGTTTAGGTAGGTTATTCAAAGTAGTGTTTTGTTCTCTTCTCCCATTTATACCACTTGCTGATGCTTGGGATGTGGGTATGATGGTGGGATCTGAAGACCTTCCTTGGATCACAAGATGGAAGTGTGTGCTGAAGCTGATGGAACAACATTGTAGAAGAGTCTGTGTCCGGGAAACTGTCTGGGCCACCAACCCTGACGTAAACCTGGGATAGAAGCTTGTATCTGGGTTAAGCCACTATGTTTTGGGGGAATCTTTTTACAGCTGACTAACCTATAGCCTAAGGAGTAGATGTTTTTCATCTCAGATTATCCAGGTGGGATATGTCTTCTGCCTGAAGGATGTCTTTTAGAATTTCCTTTTGAAAAGGTTTTCAGTTCTTGTTTGTCTAAAAATCTGTTTATTTTACTCTCATTCAAATTTACTGTCAGAAAATGTTTATGTCATTTTCTTACTGTTTTATTTTCTACTGGGGCTATAGTTATCCCCATATATCCCCTGTTTCATTCCTAGCAGTGTTTATTTGTGCCTTCCCTGATTTCCTTGCTTATCCATGTTAAACATTTATCAATAGTATGAAAATATTTAAATGTTTAAACTTAAATCCATTTCACTTAATGTTAGCATTGGCTTTTTAGCTTTAACTTTTCTTGTCACATTTTGCACAGAGAGGACTGTACTGACCCAGCTGCTCTGGCAATACAAGAACAATTCCCTCATCAATTCACTAAAGGATTCCTTTCAATTTCTGTCATCAGTTCTTATGATTCTAAACTTGGATTATTTCTGAAACTCTTAATAAGAACATTTCTTATATCTGCATCAAGCTTTAACTTTCCCCAGCCCTTTCCCTAACTTATAGTTCTACCCTCCACACATACATACCTACATCAGTTTATAGATTTCCTTATTCTGGTTTTTCTATAAAGCCAATGCAGTCGATTTATAAATTCCAGAAGTATTGGAAGTATACAACCCAATCCTAGAACATTTCCCCATATTCTAGAAATTTTATTGAATTATTATTTTTATATCTCTTTAGTCATTAGATTTCAAACTATATTACAAAGCTAATAGTTTTGTAATAGTGATAATAATAGTTATGAGAGTAATCAAAACAATATGGTATTAGCATAAAAGCTGACACACAGATCAGTGGACCCGAATAGAGTCCTCAGAAATAAACTCATGCATATATGGACAATTTAATTAGGACAAAGCAACTACAAATATGCGGTGGGAGAAGGATTATCTCCTCAATATATAGTGTTGGGAAAACTGGATATCCATATGCAGAAGAATGAAATTGGACCTAATCTTACACCATACACAATAATCAACTCAAAATGGATTAAAGACAAGAATGTAAGACCTGAAACCATAAAACTCTTCAAAGGAGACTTAGGAAGTAAACTTTTTGACATTTGTCTTCTTTTTTTATTTTAATTTTTTATTGTTATGTTAATCCCATACATCATTAGTTATTGATATAGTGTTCCATGATTCATTGTTTGTGCATAACACCCAGTGCTACACGCAGAACGTGCCCTCCTTAATACCCATCACCAGGCTAACACATCTCCCCACCCCCCTCCCCTCTAGAACCCTCAGTTTGTTTTTCAGAGTCCATCGTCTTTCATGGTTCCTCTCCCCCTCCGACTTACTCCCCTTCATTCTTTCCCTCCTACTATCTTCTTCTTTTTCTTTTTTTTTTTTTAACATATCTTGCATTATTTGTTTCAGAAGTACAGATCTGTGATTCAACAGTCTTGCACAATTCACAGCGCTCACCATAGCACATACCCTACCCAATGTCTATCACCCAGCCACCCCATCCCTCCCACCCCCCACCACTCCAGCAACACTCAGTTTGTTTCCTGAGATTAAGAATTCCTCATATCAGTGAGGTCATATGATACATGTCTTTCTCTGATTGACTTATTTCACTCAGCATAACACCCTCCAGTTCCATCCACGTCGTTGCAAATGGCAAGATCTCATTCCTTTTGATGGCTGCATAATATTCCATTGTGTATAATTACCACATCTTCTTTATCCATTCATCTGTCGAAGGACATCTTCACTCTTTCCACAGTTGGGCTATTGTAGACATTGCTACTATAAACATCAGGGTGCATGTACCCCTTCGGGTCCCTACATTTGTATCTTTGTGGTAAATACCCAGTAGTGCAATTGCTGGATCGTATGGTAGCTCTATTTTCAACTGTTTGAGGAACCTCCATACTGTTTTCCAGAGGGGTTGCACCAGCTTGCATTCCCAACAGTATAGGAGGGTTCCCCTTTCTTCCCATCCCCACCAACATCTGTCGTTTCCTGACTTGTTAATTTTAGCCATTCTGACTGGTGTGAGGGGATATCTCATTGAGGTTTTGATTTGGATTTCCCTGATGCTGAGCGATGTTGAGCACTTTTTCATGTGTCTGTTGGCCATTTGGATGTCTTCTTTGGAAAAATGTCGGTTCATGTCTTCTGCCCATTTCTTCATTGGATTATTTGTTCTTTGGGTGTTGAGTTTGATAATTTCGTTATAGATTTTGGATACTAGCCCTTTATCTGATATGTCTTTTGCAAATATTTTCTCCCATTCTGTCAGTTGTCTTTTGGTTTTGTGGACTGTTTCTTTGCTGTGCAAAAGCTTTTTATCTTGATGAAGTCCCAATAGTTCATTTTTGCCCTTGCTTCCCTTGCCTTTGGCGATGTTTCTAGGAAGAAGTTGCTGCGGCTGAGGTCGAAGAGGTTGCTACCTGTGTTCTCCTTTAGGATTTTGATAGACTCCTGTCTCAAGTTTAGGTCTTTCAACCATTTGGAGTCTATTTTTGTGTGTGGTGTAAGGAAATGGTCCAGTTTCATTCTTCTGCACATGGCTGTCCAATTTTCCCAACACCATTTGTTGAAGAGACTGTCTTTTTTCCATTGGACATTCTTTCTTGCTTTGTCGAAGATGAGTTGACCAAAGAGTTGAGGGTCCATTTCTGGGCTCTCTCTTCTGTTCCATTGATCTATGTGTCTGTTTTTGTGCCAGTACCATACTGTCTTGATGATGACAGCTTTGTAATAGAGCTGGAAGTCCGGAATTGTGATGCCGCCAGCTTTGCTTTTCTTTTTCAATATTCCTCTGGCTATTCGGGGTCTCTTCTGGTACCATACAAATTTTAGGATTATTTGTTCCCTTTCTTTGAAAAAAGTGGATGGTATTTTGATGGGGATTGCATTGAATGTGTAGATTGCTCTAGGTAGCATTGACATCTTCACAATGTTTGTTCTTCCAATCCATGAGCGTGGAATGTTTTTCCATTTCTTTGTGTCTTCTTCAATTTCTTTCATGAGTATTTTATAGTTTTCTGAGTACAGATCCTTTGCCTCTTTGGTTCGATTTATTCCTAGGTATCTTATGGTTTTGGGTGCAATTGTAAAGGGGATCAACGCCTTAATTTCTCTCTCTTCTGTCTTGTTGTTGGTATATAGGAATGCCACTGATATCTGTGCATTGATTTTATATCCTGCTACTTGACTGAATTCCTGTATGAGTTCTAGCAGTT